ACTAAATATCATTTAAACATATCTATGTATCAGGCCTAACCGATGAGCATGGTTTTGTTGTCTTTTAAATCAATTACATTGCAGAAGAAGCTGACAGTTGAGCTCATGTCTCTCATGTGTGACATTGAAAGTGTGCACTGCAAAAGAAAAATCATTCACCAAAAGACAAACAACTTAGAGGGCTAGCAGTCCTGCACAGAGAGTAAGAAAGCTTTGATAAGCCAGCGCAAGAAGCAGAGGCCACTGTGAATGTACCATGTTTTTTCTCCTTTCTGCATGGCAATGTGTCAGATCATTGTGCTAACAAAGCACTACACATGTTTAGTCTTGTTTAAACACAGCTGCCTAAGTGGCATTCCTAATTGCCAAATTCTGCCAAATAATCCAGTTCACACAATGTACATCTTATGTGACCTTCACACTGGATTTTGGAAGAGAGAAGATGGTACCAGTCTGGTGAGAGACAGGAGTGACACAAAAAAGGCCAATCAGTCACAAAGCCTCCAGGTTCACCTGCCAAAGATTTTTAAATGCACTTGAACAAGAAGAGGGGCTCTGTGCCACAGGACCACAGTGTTTGTCACGTAGTGCTGGGATCTGCAAAGGCAGATTTACGTTTTCATGCAACTACAACTTTAGCTAAAATCTTTGCTGCCTTCATTCTGAAGTGATGTATCGATAAGAAAAATGGCTTTTAGGGAGAGGAAGATTACAGAACAGCCCATCAGGGAGAATTCAGCACATGAGACGACAGAGGCTTGAATTGAAATACATAGTATCTTATAGCTGGAGCAATAGAGTCTATTTTTCTTGCTTTGTCTTCTTTTCCTCTACTGTACTGAGCACCATATTTCTTCTCTGCCTTTGGCACCTTCTATAAATGTAAACCATCCTCTCTGTTCTTGCACTGGTATTTTATAAGAGAGAAAATGAAGAAATACGAAACTAAATTTCCACAGAAAGCCATTAAACTTTCTTTGTACTACTTAGGTATTTCTGCTTTAACATCCTATTTGAGTAGCTCATAGACCATGTAAGGTATTTACAGAACTTGAGAGAGGGTGGTGTCATTTTATTCTCAAGGCAGTATTTGTTCTTTCTATTTATGATCAATTTATTATTATCCTTCTAGCAACCCACACTTTTAAAGAGGGCACCATGACTCAGAGGAGTTGCTCAGGATAGGTGACCTTGGCTGCAAAACAAATGACAAGTTCTTGCTCATTCAAGGGTTAACACACTCCCCTCAATAAAATTCCTGGTGACACTGCTCAGAGCTAACAAAATTTCCATTTCTTCTTGCTGCTAGGACTAGCTTTTTGAATGAGCCAGGCTAGAAAATTGAAGCTTAAAAATGGGATGGGAAAAGGTGGTGGAATGGGATGGCAAAGCCTATAATAATCCTTTAAACATGGACCAATGTCCAAAATTGCTAGATATCAAGACCATTGGGGCTCAGCTTCTCTGACTCCTTTGGCCCTCACTGAAAGCTGAAATGCACTTAGCATCTGTCAAAACTAGGTCCCAGGCTTTTTTGCTTCCATCATCTGGGATGTCTCTAAACCAAATAAGCACCTTTAATCTTTTATTCGGTTGCTGATTTCTGGGATGTCTGCCACAGATGTATCTCTACCAGCCTTTTTTTATTAGTGTTGGAAACTGCATTTTTACTTAGTGGCAGGGAAAAAAAAAAGAAGACAAAATGAAAATGTTTTCTAAAGTTTCAATGTCATTCCCAGGTACCAGTTAATGGATAAATTATTATCTTCCCTCCAAACAGCAAGATCAGCAGAACTGCTGTAGTCAATTGCCTGCAGATCTGGAGACCTGATATTGTTTAATTAGCACAGATTATGTGTTACCTTGAAGTAGATAAATTTTCCTCACAAAAGTGTTAAAAATCAGTTGTGTCTCCAGTAATGAGACCATATAATTCCCAAGCCCTTCAGAAATGCTCACTACTACCCATTCATCCAACCATGTATCTCTCTGTCAGGTCATCTGGACTGCAGCAAAGCTCCAGCTGGAGCTGCTCAGTCTTAGTTGCCTCCCATGTACTTTAAAAAGTACTGTATAAAATATAAATAACTAAATATATTGTAAAAGCATCCATAATCAATACAATTATTATAATTATAAGAATTTCAATACAGATATTTGATTTCTTCTTTCATGTTTTTGCAGAGCAATGCTCTGGAAAGGCTGGTGCTGTTGGCATTGTACTGACAGCAAGAAAAAAAAGCTTTATTTCTGTGGCTTTTATTTCATCTGAGGGAGTCGCTTGTCCTGATCATGGTACTAAGTTATGCCTGTCAGCAGGCATTTGTCTTTGAGGTTACAGTTTCTTGAAGTTACTGCTTTTTTCTGACAGCCATTCTTTGCCTTTGAACATGACAAGGTAGCATCATGTGAGGGTTAGAAGAGAAAATTAGAATAGCCATGTGAGTCAGCAAATGCCCTTTCAATCTAGTGACCAGAAAAGAACCCTTTGAAAACATAATCCAAAGGAGAATTAACTTCAGAAATTAAAATAGCCAACACAAAGATTTATTTTTTTTTTCAAATGTTAGAAATCATCCCCTGGCTTCTAACCACTCACCATTTAGCAGCACCTACTGGATGGCAGGAGACCTGGGCAGGAAGAAACCCTGCAGCCTTTCTGCCTGGAGGCAAGATGCCTGTCCCCTGTCTGAGCCTGCAGATTTTCTGCACGAAGACCTTTCCATCTGAAGCCTGAATGCCCTTTCACAAGCAGTAAGCATCAAGTGCAATTACACCACTTTTTTTTTAATGCACAGGGCTGCACAGAGATAACATTGAGGGAGATGAACGAGGCCTGAACCCAAGAGATATTTCAGTGTCTGTGTGACATAAGAGTAGTATTTGCTTCGAACCCCAAAGGAAGGATTCAGTCTTTGAAAGCACAACATGATGTATTGTCTTTGAAATTCACTAGCTAGACACAAGCACTGGTGAATTATGAAGTATTCAACAAGACAAAAACTTATATCATGGTGTTGTGTATTAGTGGTCTTGAGGCTGCGATATATTAATGTAGGCAAACTGACAATAGCTCAGGGAAAGCTCGAGCACATGCAGCCCGAGATAAAGAAACAAATGGCACAGCTCAGCTCAATAACCACAGTGGGTGGCAGCCAGCCAGTACAGTTCATAAGAAATCTTCAGAATAACTTCTGCTAGGCTGGAATTAGTCTTAAATACAGCCCAGGTGCAGGGTAACACAAAAGATGTCTTCACACAGTAGTTTTATTCCATCAGCATTTCTTTCAAGGTTATCAATACTACAGGCAGACCAGGAGAGTTAACCTTTTATACTGAGGCTGACCCCAAGAGAACAAGCTACCTTTTTCAACTTACCTCTCCTGTTTTCTTAATCCTTTATCTCAGGCTGTGATCTTGCAAGACTTCACAAGCTAACTGAGGTTAGCTTGGGTCATTGGTTAGATGTGAAATCCAGGCCACTATAGTCAGGATCCTTCCCCTGAGTTGCTATTTAAGGTGGGTCTGCAGCAAAGTCCTTCAGAACTCCCAAGAGCTTGGCATGCTGGGATGAAAGGCTTTGGTGTGGATTCATTACCAGGTCAGAGCTGAACTGCTATCAGGGTGTGAGGCTAAGGACATCATAGTACTGAAAAAATATTCTCATATTATCTACCTGAATTCATTAAAATTCTCATAACTTTGTGGAAGGGCTTTTTTTTTTTTTCATTATTACACCAAATCTGATCATGTGCAATACTGTGGAAATCACTGAAGTTTCCCAATTATTTCTCAAAGTGAATGATGAGTGTTATAATCCTCTTCCCTGATTTATGCACAGAATTATGCATAAGGCAACAATTTACCTTAAAAGGTCCTTCAAGATAATTCTGGATTAATGTTTCTAGAGAAGTATAAAATATCATTTTTTAAAAGTCCAGGTGTCTGACTGGTCCTCACCAAACAGAAAAAATGTAAGTTTTTATTCAGAAATACTATTGGAATTATATTTAAATCTTATAATTTTAAAGTGACATTGATGGTTCTAATTCTACAAAAACAATAATGCAATAAAGTAGAAGTAATATCTGAGTAGTTTAAGGGCTTGAATGAAACAATTAATGAGATTGATTGTGACTTATTTTATAGCATCAGAAAAAGTTTAGCTATTTTCCATTTCAGGTGAAGTAGAAATATTTACATTCTGTAATAAAAATAAAATAAGTTGCAAGTACAGAAAGAAGGCTAGGGGAAAATTATTCAGAAGCATGTGCTGAGAGTTTACCCAATATATTCAGTGCTTTATTTAAAAGTCTGTAATTGAAACTCATTTACTTTTTAGAGATTATTTGCCTAAAAATTAGAATCAGTGTTAAAAAGCAGTCATCAAGAAACTGAATCTGCATAAGGAAATAGAAATTACCTATTTGAAATAAATTTTTGCCATCCTTATGGCCTTATTAAAACAGGTTAAGTCTGCTAGTATAAGAGAGAAAAACAGAGGCTGAAACAGTGTGAGACATTCTTTGTGGTGTCTGGAAATTGAAAAAAGAGAAGCTGAGATTCTGCTGGTCAAGACTTGTCTGCCTTTTGGAGGTCAGAAAGTTCAAAGGATAAGAAGTTTCTTTTAAACAATAGGTGATTCCACTGTTTTGAAAATTTGGATGTAATAATCTGGTTCAAATAAATAGGAAAGATATTTCAGATTCTTCCAGGTTTTGAAAGAGCTGCTTTCCCCAAAGGTTTTTTTTTTGTCTTGTCTGTGTATCTCATTAAAGAAAAAATAAAATAGCCATAAATAACTGTACACTATGAACTGGTCTGTCCTTTAAATGAGTACCCTACACATGCCAAAAATTGATTCTTGACATAAGATACATTCAAACAAGCAGTGAAAGGGTCTTCCTTGGAAAGACAATTTTAAATACATGAGAGGCCCATCAGAGAAAATATATTTATTTTTCCTTTCTGATAATCTATTGCATTTTGGGGGTTAAGGCCAAAAGGCAGAAGACACAAAAAAAAAGGAAGGGCCACCATGGTTTTCCAGTCCTCTTCCTGTTTGTTGCCTTCCATGCCAGGTATAACAGGACAGCATACAAAGCATATAAAACCATCAGGCTTTGGAATCACAGTAGAAGATACCTCTGTGCTTAAAGCAGAACAGATAGTCTAGCATCTCCTCAGGTTTGATAGCTTTGTTGCAACTCAGTCCAAGCAATGTGGTGATTAAGCTGAGGAACAGCCCTAGCTGAGAACAGCATAGCTAGTGAAAGTGGCTAACAAAGACAAATGGTCCCGATGACAGACTCCACCAAGCCTTGAGTTTCCTTAATACCTGCAATAATCCTCTACAAAGTGGAAGGGATTTTTATTATTGACTTAACAATAATGCATATTCTAATCCATGTGTCTGTGCTGGCCTAAAATGGACATGTTTTGTTTGAAACCACTGAAGCTCCAGACTTTTATATCTACCAAATCTTGTAGCACAAACAGAACACTGGAGTTACAATAGATAAGTACTGTATTTTCAGAAACAGTTATTTCTGCCCACCACCTTATAAATATGTTGCCAGTTCCCAGAGCAGGAATTCCTTATCTCATTACCATGGTATTGTTCTTTTAACTCTACTTAATATGCAGAGAAAAGAAGCAGTTGGTTAATATTGCTTTCTTGACACAATACTGAATCAGAGCAGGTGCAATTGCAGAAGACTTATGAATACAAAGTAGAACAGCAGTAGGTTAGAAAGGATATGTCACTTAAGGCTGTCTTTTTTAATTCAACTTCATTACTGAGAACAGGAGTGGAAAATACATTTTACTAGTCTGGTTAATATTTATATCCTACTGTACAGTCCATTGGCATGAAGGGATCTCTGTATTAAATGTACCAGATGTTATGGGAGCAGAGCTGGAAGGTAAACAAATTGAGTCAGAGATCATATCATACACATACTCAGACACACAAAGCTTAGAAAGGTAGAAAATCCAATACGTTTCTATCCTAGATGAAATAATGATTATCATCTTTCCTTTGTACATCTTTGGGCCTGCCTGGAGATGGGGTTCAATTATCCTGTGACAGGAAGTAAAGCTGATGTCCTATTTTCTGCTATGTTGTAGCCAGGAGAGCTGATTTAGTGAAATCAGTGCCATGTTTGTATGGAGATAAGGCCTTCTCTTTCCTATAAAAAGTCTTTACATTTCACAAGCTGACACTGAAATCTTCAAAATCAGTTGTGACTAACATAATGCTTGCAACAGAAAGCCTAAAACAGCAACTATGACTCCTTCTCTGGGGAATTAATTTGCATAACCAGAGTTGGTAGATTAAATATTTGCATTAGTAACTACTTTGCTGACAAAAATGGTGCTAACTAATTTTGTGAATAACAATGCTCTGTTTTCTTCCCACTCTTCAGGTTGGAGCTCTGAATGACAAGACTTTACCTTGACTTCTCTTTGTGTCAAGTGTACTGCAGGAGCTGTTGATTTTTTCTGTTCATTTTGTTGGGTAGTTTAGGAAGTTCTGTACCTGAGGATTGTTCAGCCCCTGGGAATGTTACAGATTTTACATCAGGAATAGTGCCAGAGATAAGTAGGGGACATAAAAAATTATAGCATCCTACTAGTGCCTTCAGGAAAGGTAACCCAGAAGACTCTGTTTGACCATCCACCCATTCTACAAAAATGGGATTATTTTTGTGTGTATCTTTTACACTTGAAAAATTTCTATGAATAGTATTGTTCTTAAGAGAAAACTTGATCAAAATCTGAAAACATAAATACTGTGAATTACCTTGCACATGGAGTTCCAACCTCCAGCCATAAAAAAGAGACCAAATTTGTTAAGCGTGCTTCATTATTCTTCAGTCCAAACCATCTATATAGACTTTACTCTTTAAAATTTCCTGTAGTTACTTTCCTCCACTTATTCCCAAAGTAAAAAAATAAAAAAATTTAAAAAATAAAAAAATCCATACCTTCCAGCTGCAAAGACTCAGACCTTTAACCCTATATTCTGGCACACTCTTTCAGAGGCTTAATGAATCTGGACTGCAAGTTCATACTGTAGTCATGTTACAGGGTGACATTCTCTTTAGAGAATGCTTGAAAGCAGAAAAGGGAAGGAGCGGTTACTCTCAAATTAGCTTTAAAAAGTATAAAAGATAAAAGACAAAAGAGTAAAAACCACCACTCTGAACCAAAAGCGACTTATAATATAGAGGCACTAACAAAAACAACAACAAAAAAGATACCAAAACAACAAATTCTGATGAATGCTATATTGAAGCTAAAGACAATTCTTTTATGATTTCTAAAGGCTCTGTTTTTAAACCCTACCTTAAAAACAAGTTTCAGGAGAATGAATGCTCTGGTCTTCTATATGAACACTTCCTCTCTATATTGCAACATTATTGGTTTTCATTCAGCTCAGCTTGGTGAAGACTTGCCAGTGGAGTACCCTGGACAGGCATCTGTACAACTTATTTAATGAACCTGAAATTCAGTCACCTTGCTTAAGTAGTAGTGAAGGATATATTGTTTTCATTCAATCCCATGTGAAATTTGACAACTTTGCCTTGATTTGGAGGTCCTCTGGAGGTAAAAGGAGACAGAACAACAGAGGTAGAAAAATAAATCTTCCTATATATGATGTTGGCATCATTCACACATGCTCAACAAAAACAAAAAGAAGACCATAGTTTTGTATTTTCCAGAGACCAGATAATTTGAATTGGTAGCCAACTTTCTGTTTTCAGCAGGTGACAAGACCACATACTCAGAACTAGCACAGACTAACAATATGAAAAGAAAAAAAAAAATCAAGGTCACGAGTGAGCAGGGAGGCCCAGAAACATGATCAGGCTCTTAAAAAGAGGACATACATCTTTGTGTGCCAATTTCCAGTCTAAACTACATCTTTTATCCACATTTAAGATCTTTAGATGGGAGGCTAACAACTAAAGCAGTGACAGGCTCATAACTACAATGATACTACTGGAAATAGGATAACAACTATGTTGACTAACCCATCCTAATACCATTAATAAATCAACTTCTTTGCCAAGTACACACAAATATGCTGAGTTGAAGCCAGCAACTAAGAGTAGAACTTTTTTTATTCTACTTTCATCACCTTTGACTACCCAAAATATATGCAGTGCAAACTCCAGCAATTCATGTCATTCAATTTACCAGTTTCATGTAAAATTTCATAAATTTGACTACTGTTACATATCACAAGGCTGAAGACTGATCTGTGATCATTAGAAAAGGGTAATAAAAGAATTTGTTGGGACAAACTACACAAATCTGATTCATTTTATGTTAGATCAGTCACTCTCAGTGTATAAACCACAGACTCTGAGGATCTCTGTCCACTCTCACAGAGTGAAAGACAACCAAGAAAAGGAAAACCACTGCCACTAGGACTGAATTCTCTTTGTAAGGGCTGACCACTACTTAAAAAAAATGCCTAAAGGTATTCATGTGAAAACAGACTAACAAATGTGTTAGAATTACATTAATATAGGCTTATATGGATATATAAGCTTGACTGGTGTCTCCACTGCTGCTGAAATGCTACCCAGCTGGCAACTATTTTCAAAATTGACATCCAGTTGAAATCAACTTGTTTTCAACAATAAACTTGCAGAGACAGAGAAGAAAAATGAAAGCATTCTTTAAATTTCTAATTTTCCCAGATTCATAGATCTTCCTCTGAGAATTTCTTTAAGTTTCCAAATCTGTTTGGAAACCTAAATAATAATTTAAAAATCTATCCAAAACATCTTGGTTTTAGCAACGTGTTGATGAATCCATAGCATGTTTCTTAAGGAACCATACTTGGTGTCCTGCTGAACTCTTGCATGGAAACTGGTACAAAGACTTTATTTCCATCAGGTCTGTTAAGAATTAGGGACATGGATGGCTTTAGCATCTCCTCACTGCCATTGGCCTTATATCCATTTTCACTACCACTCTCCTTTGAAAGTAACCAAACTATAATTTTTTCTCAGCAAATCCACAAATCTTCTAGTCTATGGTAAAATTTAGGTTTTTAAGTGTGTGTATATTTTATATATATTATGCAGATATTTTAATACAATAAATATAATGTGTCCATCTTTTTCAATTTAAATTAAAAAAACCCGTAACAAACAAAATTTGCAACAAGTAAAAGGAAAAGCCCTAACAGGGGAAGGGGAGGGAAACTCTTTCTTTTCTTGATGTCAACTCTGTAATATTACTGCTTCAACTGCTAAACATTTTGATCTTTTCCCAAGGGCATAGCACTTTCTATTTCTTCAAGAAGCTCCATTTTAGTCTCACTTCCAAAGCCAGAAGTTCACTGTAGGTCATTCTTCTTGTTATCACCCTTCTATGACTTCACATCATTTTCTGCATCAGGCTCACAAACCTCATCCCCAGGGCACAAGCTACAATCTGCTAACATCCAAAGTCTTATTCTCATTTTCTGTGTATCTTACTTTCCTTCCACAAAATAAGCAGCTCTTCTGTACAATTTTGTCTGGTTACCTTCATTTTTTATTTTTTTTAATTCCAATTAATTTCTTCTTCCTTTTGTACAATCCTCAAGGTATCTGAGCTTCTAGCAAGGTATCTAGAGTAACATTTCACCTGGAGCTTTTGCAGGAACTTCCACAGGCTCTGGAAACACTTTGCCATGGCCATCTAGAAGTAGTACTCCATGAAAGCACACTCTATGGCACATAGCATGGTCTTAAATAAACATGCTTCTAGTTTTATTAACACAGGATTCCAATTCTGCGGCAGAAACAGGAGGTACAGCAGCTCTTAACACTGGTCTTTGGGATTTATAGTAAAGACATTGTATCCCATGATCTCAGCTCATTCCCTCTCTTTGCAGCATCCTGAAAATAATGGAGCCCTCCCTGGCAGAGCAATGAAGTGTTGTGACCATGTGCCCTCTCAAGCAGTGAAAGCAAAGGAAAATATGCAGAGTAGACACAGCAGGTTACTTTAAAAAAATCCCACAATGTTTTAAGTGTGTGATGGTCATCAGGGATAGATGGTGCAACAGCAGCTGTGCTGCACCATCCCTCCAGTTCAAGTTATAAATAACTGGGGACATTCATCTAAGTAGGACCTGTGTGATTCTGCATATATTTATGGCATGGTCATGGATAAGCCCATAAAAAAACCTCCATGTTTTAAGTATCACCCTCAGTTTTTTAGGAAAACTGCTGCTAAATAGGATGTGTTTCTCTATGACTTGCAGGGTTGATTATTTGCTGCAAGGAAATGTGCCACAATGACTGCCCTTTTCATTATAAACAAACATTCCCATCCAGACCCCAAGTAACGCTCCATCTAATCCTATATCCATCCTCCTGCAAAAGTCATTCCCTCATTGTCTTGCTCACACAGGTGTTTGACGTGTTAAGTGATTATGATGGACTCTTCATTACTGACAATTTGTGAGGGTTAGCTCTTCATGGTTGAAGTCTGTTTCTTAGGTATTAGACCCAGCAGATGGACTGCAGATGGCAGATCTGCTGCCCAGAATTTAAAAGTGGCTGTAGAAGAAATTGTAATGCTTGCTTGCAGCACAGTGGGAGACTCTAAAACTTGAAGCATCAGGAAGCAACCTAACAAAAGCTGCAGTGATGAAAAAGGTTATGAAGCTGTGTTTCAGTAGAAATTTGGACTGTTTTATACTGGCAGACTCACTCATAATATCTTGTCACTGTTGTTTATATAAAACAGCATATGATCCATTATATATCATTTATAGTACAAAGGCAATGTGCTTATAATTAATAGATCTCATACTTCAGGTATGGATACTTGCTCTTCCCAGAATCTAATAATGTGAAAAGAGAGCCAGCTCAGAGACCTCAGAAAGGTCCTGGGAGGTGAGTAAAGAAAGATAGGAAGGATGGAAAACATTGTGAATTCCTGTTTTCAAATTGCATTTCTCTATAGTGAATATTGCAAAACAAAAACAAAAACAAACCCTCCTCAAAAAAAACACTTTATAAACCAGGATAAATTGAGAGAAAAAAAGAAAAAAATTTAAAACCCCACAAACAATTAAAACTACCAAATCCCACAGTTTCAATTGTGTTGTGAAAGATCTGCATCAGCAATCATGATTGACTTTCAGAAATAAAGGAAAGTTTTTGTCAGGAGAGGACTCCTGGCAGTTTCTCTAAACTATTTGCTACAAAACCCCAGAATTTACCTTCATATTTCCAGACTGGAGAACTCTTCTTATCCACACAAATTCTTGAGGGATGTCAGCTTCAGCATGGAAAGAGATTATTTTACTATTTATTTTTATCCTTCCCTTTAGGAATGCTCATACTCTAGTGCATAGCCTTGGTTTTGCCACAAGTTACTTTGTGCCATGTCAAGCTTTATCATGTCAGGACTCCTTCTAAAAGAGGAGGAGAACATTAAGCCTACAAGAGTTTCAAATAAAATTCACACCAACAGTGAAATTATGACTTCACATGTGATTATTGAACCCTCTTCTGCAAAAAAGCAGCCCTCTTTTCCCATCCCTGCTTTCCCATCCCTTGGAACATGTTTCATATCATATTTTCCATTTCCAACCTCCTTCCAATCAGTAGTTACCATCCACCTGTTAGTTGCCTTTAATATAGATTTTTACATATTATAGAAAAATAAAAAAAAAAAATTCTGTAAACAATAAAAATCCTAGGCACAATGAAAACAATTAGGCCACCTATACCAGGATCCATGTTCTTTGGACACAGACCCACAAATAATTCATTTTTGTAGCCATGTACATTTGAGGTACTCAGCTGGTGCACAAATGCTACTCCTCAATGGTGGAATTGCTGGCAATGTTACACATTGCCACATAAAAAGTTTCTCTGCCACAGAAACTTTCCCCCCATTAAGGAGTGTAATTGTGCTCTACCACCTTAATTACATCACTGAATGTTCCCATTCCTGCTCATCAGAAATAGATCCTTAGATGAAACAATATTTATATCACCTAGATCTCTTCCTCTACAAACGCCAAGCATGTCTTCCACTTTGGAAACAAAGAGGGAAAAAGATACAAATTCTGTTTTATGAGACTCACAAATAAATTCTTTCCCTTCACCTATACTGAACTCTGGAAACACCCCCAGAGAAAACACAGCACTATGAAAAATGCTGTGTAGCACCACACTTACAAGATCATAGAAGATTTTCAAATGGCAGCACACTAATGAATTAAGAGATATAGCTGTCAGCCTCATACATCACTTTTGAAGGTTCTGATCAGAGTGCATGAGGCCTTTTGGAAAAGCACGGTTGTTTGCATTTACCTCTCCTTGGAAAATTCCATTCAGAAACAGCATCTGGTATCTAACCAGGTCTTGTCTTTCATCCAGTTTTCCTGTTGGACCAGGCAAGGGACAGGGAGATTTAACTAGCTGCCTGTGGTCACAGAGGCATCATTGCTCCACTGGGCTAGAAGTCAGAATCCTTGCTCACCTCTGACTTCCTCAGGACTCTACAAACCTTGACATGCCAGACCCTCCATGCTAAAACACTTACTCATCTGGCTCACAGGCTGGATAGAACTTTTCTTTCTCTCCATTCTCAGTCTGTGGCAGACATGAGTCTTTGTTTAAACCAGGTTCATTTAAAAAAGGAGAGCAATGGCCTTTCCAAAGCCATATGTTGGAAGCTCAGGAAAACCCACATCAAAGCCAATTAGGGGCCAGATGTTCCTGACATGGGTTGCCAGCAAAACCAACCAGAGGGGAGAGAGGGGGCTGAACACTTTCCTAGAACCATGTGCCTGAATGTTAAATCCATAGCTTCAGGCTCCCCATGACCTGGCAACATAAAAGTGTGAGGGTGAGATCTCTAGTGCCATTAATGCACTCTGTCCAAGGCATACTTCTCATGTGTCCAACACGTGCAACACATATCTACAATTATTTTATGTAGGCACATTTAAAGTATATTCCAGAATACAACTGTGTATATGGAAAAAGTAAGTAAAGTTCTCATACAATGGAATGCAGCAATTTTACCCTCCAATATGGCCTCTGTTCATGAAACCATTAAGCAGTAAGCTTACAGGGGAACACATGACATAAATGCACGTAACAGTCTTCAAGTTTAAACAGGTCATTATGCTTTAATGGGAGCTAATGGGATGATAGGAAATTTTGAGTCTTAAAAATGAGTAGAAAGGATCTGTTGCATGGAGATTCGTATTTCATTTATTTTCAGTCTTCCCAGCTATACCACAGGAGTTTCTTTTTGCATAAACACATGCAAGACCTTCAGTAAACTTTAAAATCTCTGTGTACTGTTATAGCATAGCAAGCTCAAAAACAAAGTATCAAACAGAATGAAACAAAATCTGCTTTTCTATGACACCTTTCATACTCCAAGTATCCTAGAGCACTTTAAAATAAATGACTTGGAAACTGGTAGCGCAGTCATGCAGCAGTTGTTATTTCAAACTCAGGCCTAGATGTTGGAGCTTATTTTGGTAAAAGGAAGACAGTGCCAGCCAAACCCAGAAGTTTCCTCCTCATTCTTTCCACAGTGTCCATTAGCTACTTAGATCTCACTCAGTGTAAGCAAAAGAGTTCAGCCAGGTATTTTATGTTGCCAGTTACTCATTGCTGGTTTTAAAACTCCTTTAAAGCATGAGCCCAGAAATGCCCATGAGCATTTCTATACATCCAAATGTTCAAAAAGCAAATCAGTGCAACATTTTCCCACCTCAGTTTCCACTAAAGGACCAGATAATTTTTTGTCCTTGTCCTTGTCAACAGCACAATCCTCGTAGGGAAAAAGATTACAAGACTCTGTCTATCCCCATTAAAACTTTCAACTCTCTGCATGTGCAGCTAGTGGAAATCCCATTTCAATTCAAAAATCACCATACTTTGGGTGATTTCTTGGATTGGTGACTCTTAGATTTCTTCTGCCTTCTGAGTTAGCCTAGACTAAGAAATACTTACATGAACACTTTTGCCTCCAGGAATTATTTGCAAAGCCCAGTAAAATCCACAGGTATTACCAGTTCTGGACTCTGGCTGTTTTACTAAATGGTTTTCTATATCTGCTGAAAACCTAGTGCTTTTATTTGTAGGCCAGACTTCTCAGCTTGTTTAAATACCCATTTCCAAACAACTTTTGCAGAAAAGAGAGCAGAAGCAGCTAAAACTAAACTCAGATGAATTTCAGAAAGTAGTAAGTTTTCCCAATAATAATTCCCAGGAGATGAAAGGCAAGAGCAAAACACAGTAGCTTCTTCTTCAACTTCCTCCAGAAAATAGAATTCCATCTACGTCAAGGATCATATGGCTTGTCTATTTTTTCCCCTTCTTTTAGAATTAATATCCTTTATTAGACTAAGTAACAATCTGATTTTAATTTTTTTTTAAAAAAAGGATTTTAAAATGTCTCCTGGGACCAAAACACCAGGACAACTGTCAAAGCATACACTGGATTTCTATTTAAGTCAGCAGTAGGCAGATGGTGGTAAGCAAAAATGGTGGAGGTCACACTGCAGATAAAGGAAAAAGAGAAATAAGAATCTTTTTTAACCAGTCTAACTTCACTGACTTTGAAACAAAAGTTCTAAGGTATCATCAAAGTAACTGGGAAGTGTGTAAATCAATAGATAAAGGTAACCGGGGTGACCACCAAAACAGCTAAAATGCAAAGATTTATGTCATTACCTCACTAGCAATGCCAGGTGGCAGAGCCATAAGGGACACAGGCTCTGTTAGGCTCAGCTCATCCCAGCAGGCAAAGCCACAGCAGGACACAGGCTCCATTAGGCTCAGCTTACCCTGGTGGACAGAAGGGACCAGGGTCCAATGCCTTCTGCAATACATCAAAGAGCTTCACACACACAGTTTTATCTCAAGGTTGTGCTTTCATGACCTCAAGCATGTATGTGAGAGTGTGTTATCTCTGTACAGGAATTCCACTTTTCAAAACAGGCAGAGGATGAACAACACTAGGCATAATAAACGGAGTTTTCCCACAACAACATTTTTAGCATTCTGAACTGCAAGGTCACTTTGAGCAAAAACTATTCTCTCCTCACCAAATCTACTTTTACCTCTTTTTTCCCAACAGGAGGGAATAAGCAGGGAGACAGTCAGATGACATGAGCAATACCCAAGGACCAGAGAAGTAGGCTGAGTTTATCTTTCTTCTTATCAGAGTGATAAAGATCACTGGGCTGTCTGGGGAGTTGTAGAAGATAGGAAAGTTATTTTCAGCAGGGCCATCAACACAGCAGAGGGGCAAGCACAGCACCTGACCTCACCACATGCTAGGAAGATGTTACTCATTTGTTTACGAGTCATGTTCTGCTGCATTTCAGATTAGAAATAGGAGTAATCAAGAAAGCACTTAAATGAGGGCCAGTAGGATGCAAGCAGAAAAAAACATATGCTAAGAAGAATGGAGGATGTACTGTCTTTCCCCTGCATTTTCCTTCTGCTGAGGGGCTGCTGTAGCCAGCTCTATGCTGACTCTTGTGCGACCTTCTTCAGAGCAGCACTCCAAAGAATTCAGAATGATCAATGGGGAAAAAAGCCCCAAACCTTTACTTCCAGTTTTTATTTTTATCCATGCTTGTGCCCTTCACCCAGACACTGTGAGAATAAAAACAGCTGAAGAGTCAAGCTAAATGGCAGGTTGCTGTCTGTCTGAAATGTGGCAGAACTGTTCGTCACCTTGCCAAAAGGACAAGAAAAAATCTTTGAATAATTCATTGAAGGTTTTGACCAACTGATCAGTGTCCCTGCACTCTCTTGTCCCCTGACCACAGCTGAGTAAGAGAAAAGAGTTCTCTGTGAGATTTCTTCTCACACTCTGTCAGCAGCACACTCTGCCTGCAAGCTGAATTAACTTGACTGTAGTAATATTGTTCTGCTGAGACAAGAACGATGATCAGCACAACAGCACTGTTAAAAATGTTATAGGCTTCATAAAAACAATCACATCAGCTATAAAACGGTAGGTGATCATGACTGCTGCACCGCTCTCATCATAACTTAGCTTGACTTGCCTGGATGGAGAAAACAAATTATAGATGATTCCTCTTCCTTTCCCCCATTACTGTGCAAAGTGATACAATGTCCCCATTCCTTGCTAGATCTCTGTCACTATAAAGATAGAACAATGATTTTAAAAAGACAGAACATAAGACTTGGGGCTCAAAACTGTCTGGATAGCGTTACAAGGTCTGCTAAAAAGCAGATCTAAGCAAATGGTTAAGGTTCAATAGAACAAACAGTGGACTGTATAGCTCAGCTGTAACTGGGGTATGGATTAAGAAGCTCCACTTAAAACTCATCATCTGCATTTCTGGTCCAGGTAAGGATCCTCAGTAAAATTACTGATAGTTCAGGATCAGGTCCTA